AAACAACAGCTAACCCAAAGGATTCCTAGTGTGACTCTGGGATATGTACTGGATTCAGACCTACCAGCTGCTCCTCAGAAACCCTGTCTAGGGTTGCTATGACTCAGAATTGACTCGACAGCACTTAACTTCCAGGTGGGTGCTTTGAAGTCATTCAGCAACACCCTGGAGAAGACCTCATGGTCTGCCTCTGTACTGGTTAGAGCCAAGAAACCCCGTGGAGCTGCAGCTATACTCCAATTCCTGGGGTTCCTTCATGTGGTGGGAATCAACTTGGAAGACAGTGGGGACACAGAGAGATAGGGAGACTGATGGACTTAGGAATTGGCTCATGGATCGTGGGGATGAGCAAGTCCGCATCTGTAGGGGTAGCCAGGAAGAGGCTGGGAACGCCAGCAATATTTCTGTGCTACAGTCTTGAAGTAGGATTTCTTCTTTGGGAAATGTCTGTTTTTGCTCTTACGACCTTCAGTTGATGGGGATGTGGCCTACCCTACGTGGATGATCAGGGTGATCCCCTAAAGTTTGCTGATTGCAGATGTCACCCACATGGACAGAGTCCCCATGGCAGTGCCGAGAGGATCACTTGCTGGAGTCACAGGACTGTCACCCCGGCCCACTCTGCAGGCCCCTCGTTCCCTACTGTCCACGTTGCCACTGACTGTGTCGTTGATGCAGCTCCTTCTGGGTGCCATCCAGATGATTTGAACTCACAGCGACCCCGGGTGACAGTCGAGTTGGCCCTTCTGCTGTGGAGCCACTGAGTGGGTTCCAGTACCAACCTTGTGGTTGGCAGCAGAGTGCTTAATGATTGTGCCACCAGGGCTCCTCTTACAAATATTTACTGAACAAAAACAACCAGGTGCCAGCCCTGCCCTAGCGAGTGCCTCGTAGGGGCTGGGAAGTGGGAATGTTACAGTTGATGGATAAATAGGTGAAGACGAAAACCTGGAGCGTTGAGAGCAAGTGACGGGGTCCAGATGGGGTTTGAGGGTCCTGGCCCAGTTCAGGGTTAAGGAAGGCTTCTTGAGGAAGCTTCCTGAAGGGCATAGAGGAGGGGCGAGGACCAGCTGGCAGAAAGGGATAGTGTCGTCTGTGGGGCAGCTGTGAGTGGAGACATGAGGGGAACTGCAGGTGGTAGTGAGGGATCGGCCTTCATCCTGAGACTAGGGCTGGTCCCGAAGCTACCCTAGAAGGGCAGGTGTGCTCAGACTGGTGTGGTGGGAAGGCTCTGCTGGGAATAGAGGGGCGGGTCAGACTCTGAGCTGCAGGTGAGGCCTCAGTGATGACAGGGTGCAAGGGGTCCAGGAGGTGGCAGGATGTAATGGGTATCCGAGGCATCTGGGGTGCTCCTTCATTCTTGGGGTTGCCAGGGGCTTCCTCCCTGTTCCCCTGGACTCTCCGACAGACTTTACAACCAAATTCTGATGGTGCCACCCCAAACTCCAGACCAGCCCAGGTAGCCACACACTGTGACGCCCCTTTGAATCTTACTGAAGGCAGCAGCCTAAGCTGTTCCCCAGCACTGCTGACCGAGGGCCAGATCCTTCCCTGGGGCAGGACCGTCCTCTGCACTGTGAGGTGTTGAGCAGCACCCTTCACTTCCACCCACTCCCAGTGTGACACCCACCACAATGTCCCCAGACATGGCCCAGGGTCTCCTGAGGGTAGACAAGCCTCCACTTGAGAACTGTTGCCCCACACTATAAGGAACCCTGGTGTTGCAATAGTTAAAGCGCTTGACTGCTAAACGCCAGGTCAGCAGTTCAAACACAGTCGTTCTGCAGGAGACATGAGGCCATCTGCCCCTGTAAAGATTTACAGTCTTGGGAACCTTGTGGGGCACTGTGACTGCCCTGTAGGTCCTCGTGGTGTGGCGGTGTGGGTCCATGCACTGGACTGTAAAGTTGGTTTGAACTGCAAGCGGTTCAAGCTCACCAGCCGCTCTTTGTAAACCCTATCCAGGGTCCCTATAGGTCAGAACTGACTCAGGCACTTACCAACAATGGGATCTCTGAACTGGAATAGAATGTCAACAAGTTGATTGGGAGGTGGTCACAGCAGTACTGACCTAATGCCCAGCCGAAGCAAACCTTGCCCAGTCCGGTGCCAGCCTCACAGTCTTCACGCTGGAGCCCATTGCTGTAGGCTAAGCACTGGACTGCTAACCTCAAGGTTGTCAAGTGTCGAGTTGATTCCGACCCACAGTGACCCTCCTCAGGGTTTTTGAGGTGCGGCTGGTGGGTTTGAACCACCGACCGTTTGGACCAGTGTTTTTCCTACAGCGCCACATCAGGACTGTCTATAGGTGGTTCAGTCCCACTAGCTGCCCCTCGGAAGTCCTGCAGGACAACAACTGTGGCAACTAGCAATCAGTTTTATTTATTTATTTATTTATTTGCTGTGTTTTAGATTCCCCCAGAAAAATCATTGCACGTGACATTGACATTCTGTTTGGGGGCTTGGGGACTCCGCGCTGCCTCCCTGCATGCCTGAGTCTGGTGACTGCTGCCATGTGGCATCAGGTGACAGGTCCCGGGAGAGCAGTGTGTGTCTTCTGCGCCTCCTAGGAGGCAGCTCCTGTGGGCATGTCCCGTGGGGCTCTGCCCACCCCCACAGCCTGACCAAACCCCTACTTCCATCATCCTGGTGGGACAGAGGACAACTTTCGAGGGTGTGAATCTTCACAGACGCAGACAGCCTTATCAGCTGCTGGGTCTGAACCGCCAGCCTCCAGCTCAGCAGCCCAGAACAGAGGTTGTCTGGGACCCGAAATCCAAAGGTGATACGTGTGTTCTGCTTACCCGGGACCCCTTGTCCCGCTTTGTAAGAGTAAATGCAGAAATGGATAGACTTTGCTCAGCCCTTAGTTTTCCTGTCTGTCGGCGGCCCTGCGCACTCTCATGGTTACTGTAGCCCTTAGTTGTTGATGGGTGCCATCAAGTCCATTCTGACTCAGCACCCCATGTGACAGCAGAGCTGCCCTGTGGCGTTTCCAGGCTGGAGCACTTGGCCAGGTCTTCCAGGGAGCCGTTGGGTGGATTTGAAAAGACCAACTTTTCCATTAGCGGCCGAGCGCTTAACAAGTGTGCCACTAGGGCTCCTTTCAAAGACCCTCTGCTCTTGAACCCAGCGTAGGGTTTCTGAGACTCAGTCTCCTGTTCCTCCCGAATGTGACGGCGCCTCATGATGTTCTCTGATCCAGACCCCCCCCCCCCCCCAAGTCCTCATCGTTTACCCTCCTGAGCAGCCTTGTGAGGTGAGTGGAGTGCTGGATTACAGATGTGGAATGGGGCCTCAGGGCTTAGCGCTCCTGCCCACAGCTTAGACCTACTGAAGGCGCTAGACGGGACATGACCAGAGAGTTTGCCTGTTGGTTCTGGAGGCCAGAATGCAAACCTCAACCCTGCTGCCCTCCAGTGGAGTCTGCCTCCAGGCCCAAGACCCTAGAGCACAGAGCAGACCCCTTAGACTTTCGAGACCCCATCCCTGAACCCACGGAGGGCTCCACTGGCCTTTCCCGCCTCCCCAGCCCCACCCCACCCTTGGTATTGGATCACTGCAGTCTTTACATGACCTACTTGTAAGGAGACTTGTCATAGGGCTGGGGACCTACCCTAACCCCGTAAAGAAGTCCATCCTGCTGGTACCCTAGTTCGGTGCTCAGCTACTAACCGAAAGGTCAGTAGCAGTTAGAACCCACCCGGCAACCTGGGGGCAAAAAGACCTGGCTGTCGAGGGACCCCTGAGGCTGTTCTGCTCTGTCCCCTAGGATGGCAGGAGTAGAGAAATCAACTGGGTTTTGTGGCACCCACCACAACTAACCCAGCCTGGCTTCGTCCTAACTAATGAAATCTGCAGAGTCTGTTTCCAGCCTAGCTCTCCTGAGGTTGCCGGTGGACATGGACTTGGGGGTGGGAGCCAGGTCTCTTCATCCCCCACCCCACCTGCAGACCTTGGCACTGCTGAGGTGAAGCCATTGTTCAGCCCAGAGGGGCCTCAGGGCCCCAGGCTGTATCCTGCCTTTGTTTTCTGAGCCTTTGTCTGTTGTATTGCCTCAGCCCAGAGCCCTGTCCCCAGCCTGCTGACCCGCAGCTCTTTGGTCAGCAGTCTGTCCTTTCTGGGACTGCCTTTGTGTCATCTTAAGTTGTGCGGGGCTAGGTGGGAGGTGCAGGGGTCGTGGCTGAGGAACATGGCTTCCTAGTCTAGGTTTGGGGCTACTGAGACCAGTGACCACTGTATGTCCGGGTAGGACTGTGCTCCAGAGTATTTGGTGCTGAGAGCCTGAAGTAGCTCATTGGGTCTTCTGACAGGCCTCTGGCTGAACTTGACCCTTCAGTCTTTTGGTTAGCAGTCGAGTGTGCTCACTGGAATCTGGGATTCGGGGTGTGGGCAGGGCTGTGTGCCCTCTAGTGGGGGGCCTATCCCAGCCTCCGTCAGCATCTGGGGCTAGCCCACATTCCTTACCTTCCAGCTCCGTTGCTCTGATCTCTGTCCTCCCTCTTTTTGGAGTCTCCGGGGTTCTGTCTCATCTCAGAAGGACACATCCTGGTCCAGTGTGGCTTCCTCTTAACTTGATCACATCTGTCCAGACTCTGGGTCCAAATGAGGCCACCTTCTGGGTTGCAGGTGGATGTGCATTTGGGGGAACATTGAACCGGCTCAGGCTCCGGAAGGGTGTTGGCCAGCTTGGTCACAGCCCTTTGTGTCTGGGCAGGAGAAGGTGTGGGTACGGCTGGGCTCTGGGGTCCCTGCCTGTCTGGAGGTGCCGTGTCCCCAAACCTGCATCTCTCTCCTACAGGGTTTCTCTCTGTGTGGTACCGCAGACGGCGACTGCAAGGCTCCTGAGGGCTCAGCTTGGACCACGATGGGGCTGGGCTATGGCCTCCTAACGGGGCTCTTGTCTGGGGCGGAGGCTGGGGTACGCTCTCCCCACCGCCCACAGCTCGGAGCACCCCACGCCCTCCCTGCCGCTCGAGGTCGGCGGGGGCCCTGCGCCCGCCATGAACGGCCTGTCAGTGAGCGAACTGTGCTGCCTCTTCTGCTGCCCGCCCTGCCCTGGCCGCATCGCCGCCAAGCTCGCCTTCCTCCCACCGGAGCCCACCTACTCGCTGGTGCCCGAGCCCGAACCGGGGGCTGCTGCTGCCCCCTCTGGCCCCCTTCGGGCTGCTGCTGGCCCCCCTGGCCGCTGGAAGCTGCACTTGACGGAGCGGGCTGATTTCCAGTATAGCCAGCGAGAACTCGACACCATCGAGGTCTTCCTGACCAAGAGCAGCCGGGGCAGCCGAGTCACCTGCATGTACGTGCGCTGCGTGCCCGGTGCCAGGTGAGCCGGGGACCCTGAGGGGGTTGCTCTGTGCTGAGAATGTGACTCGTACTCAGAGGGAAGACTGAGGCTCAGCCGGCTGTGCCCCCTCTAGTGAGGGCCTGTAACTGGTCCTGAGCCCTTGGACCACTCCTCCCAGAGCCTCAGGCCAGGCAGATACTGGCACCACAGAGCCACTCAGAGTCAGAAGGGCAAGCTGTCCCTGGTGCTCAGCTGGATGGGGCCACCGAGGTGGAGGGGAGGATCCTGCGAGTCTTTAGGTGTTCAGCCCAAATGCCTGCCCTCAGCATCGGCCAGGACCACCCCAGAATGCAGAGGGCCCACAGATACCCCATCTTGAGCTCTGAGGCCACTCCTGAAGGAACGAATGGTGCTAGAGATGAAGAAGCTTTGAGCTCTGAGGGTCTGCCCCAGAGTCTGAGAGCACGACCGATGGTCCAGTGACCCCCATCCTCAGCCAGCAGCCCCCTGCCCAGGACCACACGGCAAGAGGGGACGGGGCCCCTTTATGACCCAGGCAGTGTGCTCTTCCCAAAGGCAAGCTTCGGAGGTAGGGAGAGGGGCCAGTGTGGGCCTCTGGGCTGGACTCTGGTGCTCTGCACCCCCAGGTACACGGTTCTCTTCTCTCACGGCAACGCGGTGGACCTGGGCCAGATGAGCAGCTTCTATGTCGGCCTGGGCACGCGCATCAACTGCAACATCTTCTCCTACGACTACTCGGGCTACGGTGCCAGCTCGGGCAAACCCTCTGAGAAGAACCTCTACGCTGACATTGACGCCGCCTGGCAGGCCCTACGTACCAGGTGGGGTCACCTAGAGTGTGTCCTCAGGGACACCCAAGCATGGGGGCATCTGGGGGAGCAGGAAAACACCCATCGGAGAGGTCGGACCGCCCTCCACTCACTTGGTGACAGATGTGGTCAGTGGATGTAGAGCCCAGGTCCCCTGAGGCCCGTCCTGCCCTGGGAACTCCCAGCCTTGGGGGGAAATAGCAGGCATGCCTGGCTCTGTGGGGTACAGTGGACTCCTGGGGACCCCTGGCAGCAGAATATCAGTACCACCACTCCAGGAGTGGCCCCCTGCTGATTCTCAGGTGCCACCACCTTAGCCTGTCCCAGCCCCAGTGTACATTCAGTCATGAGGTCCCTTCTGCCTGTACCTCTGTCCTGCTGATCACTGAGTCCTCCACCGACTGGTACAGGTTCCTCATGACTCACTTTGGCTTGTTCTGCAGTCCCTGTGGTCTCATCTGGTCCCACTCTGGCCCCAGAGAGGTGATGCCAATTATGGTGGTGGTGGTGGTACCAGGTGCAGGCCCTTGGAGCAGCATCCTCTGATACCCTCGGCTCTGGGGATGCAGGCTGACCTCTTTCCATCCAGAAATGCAACTATGGGGGTCTGGAAGGCAGGGGCTGGGCAGGACCAGGGTACTGGCCACCCCATCCACATGGGTCCTCTTTGTCCATGTGGAGATGTCCAGCTAACACTTGGGATCTCTCCCTGCCTGGTCCAGCCCAGCCGTCTTGGCCATGTTAGCTGGCAGGAATGCTGGGAGTTGGAAGGGGCTGGCCCCGGGCTAGAGGAGAGGACCCTGCCCATCCTGCAGGAAGGCCCCAAGTAGCTGGTGACCAGGAGTTTAGAGCTGGGGTTAGTTCCTGGCAGGTCCTGGGCACAGAGCAAACGGGCCGTTGTGCATTGAGGGCCAGGGCGTGGGGAGAGGAGTTGGGGGCCCAGGCGGAGACCACTGGAGGTGGCACAGAAGCCCTAGGTGATTAGGGCTATTCCCGTCTAGAGTAGGGAGGAGGCCTCTGGTTCCCAATGTCTGCCTTGGTCTGGCTGTGCGTGAAGGGTGAGGACTCCGAGGACTGGGCTACCCTCCCATGCCCTCATCCCCTAGGGTCAGGGAAGGACAAGAGAGGTCCCAGGGGCCTTGGGGAGCATGAGCTGGGAACACGAGTCCTCTGGGAGTGGGGGATGTGCTGACGCCGCCCCACCCCGCTCCAGGTACGGCATCAGCCCGGACAGCATTATCCTGTACGGCCAGAGCATCGGCACGGTACCCACCGTGGACCTGGCCTCACGCTACGAGTGTGCCGCCGTTGTGCTTCACTCCCCGCTCACTTCGGGCATGCGCGTTGCCTTCCCAGACACCAAGAAGACCTACTGCTTTGACGCCTTCCCCAAGTGAGAGGGGCGGGACCGCCTGACAGGAAGACCCAGGGGTGGGACTGGCGGGTGGGCAGAAGGTGGGGACGGCAGGGACGAGGATTGGGGCTTAGGGAGAGGAAAGGGGGCCTTAGAGCAGGAGGGCTGGGGGTGATGCACTGAGGCCTGCCCTGCCTCCGCCCCCAGCATCGAGAAGGTGTCCAAGATCACGTCGCCAGTGCTCATCATCCACGGCACAGAAGACGAGGTGATCGACTTCTCGCACGGGCTGGCTCTCTACGAGCGCTGCCCCAAGGCCGTGGAGCCTCTGTGGGTCGAGGGCGCCGGGCACAACGACATCGAGCTCTATAGCCAATACTTGGAGCGCCTGCGCCGCTTCATCTCCCAGGAGCTGCCCAGTCAGCGCGCCTAGCCACTGAGTCAGCCTGGACCTCAGCAATAAGGACTTCTCCCGGTCATCCAGCCCGCCCGCCTGCCCTTCCGCCAGGGGCTGCATGAGAACCCCGGGCCAGGCCAATCCGCCTCGCCCCAGGGGCCATGGACGATGTGCAGGCGTCGGAGCTACGCTCTCCTTTGGAAGCAAAAAGGAAAAAAAACCTGAAAAATTAAAGATTTAAAATTTTCAGGCTCCTCTTGCTTCCGTGGCCTGAGAGTGCCCCAAAGCCCCCTTTGCTGAGGTTTACAGTTGTCTGGGGTGGGATGGCATAGTGGGGAGCTGGCAGCATTCATACCCAGTACTCCGGTCCACCAGCCTCTGACTGCCCTGGGCCCTGTCTCCAAAGCAACCCTGGGTCCGCTTTGGGCCTGCAGCTCTCATCTTACAGATTGGGGCCGACCCACCGTCTCGCTGCCCTCTTGTATCTTGTTAAGTGCTGTCGAGTCGGTTCCGACCCATAGCGACCCTGTATAAGGTTTCCGAGGAGCAACTGGTGAGCTTGAGTGGCCAACCTTGCAGTTCAAACTTTGCAGTCTGACGCAGTAACCCACAGCGCCACACCCCCACTATAAAGTCAAGGCCTAGCCTAGATCTTGAAGACGTGTTCCTGAGACCTCAGAACTGCCCTGAGACATTTCCTCTACAAGCGTGGATTAGGAATGGTGGCAGGTCCGTGGGCCCCTGGGGTCTCCCCAGGGAAAGGAAGTCAACTCCAGGACTGGGCATGGGGCAAACTCCTGCTTAAGACCCAGGTCTCATCAAGACACGCCAGCTCCGCCCTTCCTGGGACGCCCTGGAGGGCCCTGCAACCTCGGGGTTTGCAGGTCCCGTACCCCCACACTCCCCACACCCGGCCAGCCCATAGAGGGTATTGCGAGGCCAGATCCCCAGCCGCTTGGGCCAGACAAGCCGCCAGACCTTTAGAAGGGGGCGGGGCTTCAGCCCTGCTGCTGCCGCCGAAACCCCGCAGCCTCCCTTGGCCTGAGCGGAAGCGGAAGTAGCGTCATGTGTGTGCATAAGCGATGGCGCTGATCTGCCGGGGAGCTTACTAGCTGTGGCCACTCGCTCTTCCAGGCCTCAACTTCCTCATCTTTGAGCTGGTCCAGTTTCGCCCGCGGTCGAACCGTGCGTGTCTCCCCACAGATAGCAGGATGAACGGTCGCTGCGGGTGAGGTTGCTCTGCACCTCTGCCATCAAGGTGTTTTGTTGCTCGTATTCGGGACAAGACTTGGTTCTTACAGAACTTGGAACGCGAGCGACAGGTACACATGCGCAGCCGCTGCCCCTGTCTCCAAGGACCTGACCCAATCCTGTGGGGAACCTGCCTCGCCAGCTCTGCGGTTTCGGCCCCAAGCCCCTGGAGTTCCGCCCCATCGGCTCTAGCAGACGGGTGCTGGTGAATACCCGGCCTGGGGGCAGGCAGTGGAGCTGCTGACCCCAGCCCTTCCCAAGTGCCAAGTCCAGGGTCATTTCTGATGACAGAGCCCAGCCCTTGCGCAAGCAAATCTCATCATAAGATGCTGCTCTGTACTCAGCAGAGCAGAGAGCGTGAGTGGTCCTTTGTTTGCATTTAAGGAGCCCTGGTGACGCAGTTGCTAAGCGCCCAGTTGCTAATTGGCAGGTCTGCAGTTCAAGTTCACCCAGAGACTTCGCGGGAGAAAGACCTGGTGATCTGGGCCCAAAAAGATGGACAGCCTAGGAAACCGTATGTTGTAAGTGCCATCGAGTCGGTTCCGACCCATAGTGACCCTGTATAATGTTTCCGAGGAGCTGCTGGTGAGGTTGAACCTCCGACCTTGCAGTTCAGACGCCTTTGCAGTGTGGCGCATTAACCCACAGCGCCACACCAGGACTCCCAGGAAATCCTATGTTGTCGTTATTAAGTGCCGTTGAGTCGACTCCGACCCATAGCGTCCCTGTATAGGGTTTCTGAGGAGCAGCTGGTGAGTTTGAACCGCCAACCTTGCAGTTCAAACGGCTTTGCAGTCTGGCGCTATAACCCACAGTGCCTCTATGTGACATGAGGACACTGTGAAACAGACATCATGAGACAACACCAGCAGCAGCTCATTACAGGACATTTGCACATACCAGGTTTTATGACTGAAGTGCCCACCACCCCATCCCACCCCAATGTGGCCAACAGTTAACACATCAGACTCTCTGGGTCACGTACTACATGATATTTGTCCCCATACTTCTCTCCATTGCCCTCACACACTCACACTGGTGCTAGAATGATCTCAGAGAGTGTTGCTCTCTTGAACACAAGTGAGTCTCTCTCTGTCCTCAGTGCAAGTTCAAAGTAGCTATTTAGAGGTTGAACACAGTTTTTCCAGCTACATAGAGTCAAAACTTAAGTATTAAAAGTTTTATTTGTTGAAAACTCAGTATCCTGTCTTCCTCCCGCCACCACAAAGGAAGGAAGGCCCTTTTCTCCTCCCGCTGGGGCCAAGATAAACCAGTTTCTTCTGTGCCAACACGGAATGTACATGTGTTTATGTAAGAGGTCAGTCATTTCCCACGGGGCTGCAGTTGGTTTTTTACTTAATGTAACTTGGAGAATGTCTTATATTTTTAATCTTACAGCTCAAACTCATTCATTTTAATGGCTGCATGGTATTTTATTGGAACTATTAAGTTTCTTATCCTGTTGTAACAACCGGAAGTGCTGGATTGCGTATTCTTATACACAGATACCTTTGTACCCAGGTAGGCATATTCCTGTAGACTCAATTTGTTAGCACAGAATTGCTAGGTCAAAGGCATATGCACTTTTATTTCCCACACATCTCAAAATGGGTCAGTGATCTCTAAACCAAATCAATATTGTTAGCATCTAGCCAAATCCTACTCCTAGGAAACCTCTAGGGCAAAGTAGAAGTGCCCCATAGGGCTTCCAAGGCGCTGACTCTTCACAGACATGGAGAGCCCCGCACGCTTCTTCCTTGAAGTGACCGCTGGGTTCAAAGTGCAGATTTTTCAGTTAGCAGATTAGCAGGAGAGTTCTTTCTGACCAAACTAAACCTCCACTAACCAGAGCCCTGGGGTGGCGCTGTGGGCTAATGCGTCAGACTGCAAAGCTGTTTGAACTGCAAGGTTGGCGGTTCAAGCTCACCAGCTGCTCCTCAGAAACCCTTTACAGGGTCGCTATGGGTCGGAACCGACTCGACGACACTTCACAACATAGGAGCTAGTGTCCTCCCTCCCATTTGCTGAAACTTCATCTTACAGCTGTAAATTCATATTACGTTATAGATTTAATTGCATTTCTGAGGGATATAATCGGATTTTTTACTGCTTTTGTTAGATTTCTTTATGTTGATCTTGTCTGTCCTAGCCAATAATGGTTTTGGAAGTAGCAATGATATATTTTTTTTATTGTCCATATTTAAGAATCACATGTATTTCATATTCTTGGTCTCTCTTTCTCTTGGATTTTTGGTGGTATTAAGAGTACTTTAATATTACATATTGAAGACCTGAGCTCTGTGGTTGGTGTGGTACCTTGAATTGACTGGATATGGCTTTTCTATCCAATGTCTTCATTCCCGCCAAGTGATTGAATGGGACCATGCAAATAAGGAATATAGGCTTCTGAGGTTGCTTTTGGTCAGTTTTACCCTCCAGCTAGCTTTAAAAGGAGCCATCTCTGAAGCAGGAATGGAATATCCCAAGACCATCAAGAAGGAAGAACGTGAATGAAGTGTGAGATCCCTACCTAAAAACAGCAGTGGCTGGCAAACATAAAGACAGAGGCAGTGGCAGGGAGACAGAGCAGCTTTGGACTGTAGTAGGCCCATGGACTGAAGCCGAGGCCACAGGACCACATGGCTATGAGGCATTCTTGACTGGAGAACTGCAGCGTCCTGAACTGGTTTTGATCCTGAATTGTACTCTGTTCACTTCCTTAATAAACCCCATAATCATGAGTACTGTTGAGTTCTGTGCGATCATTGCAGTGGATTATGGAACCCAGATGTGAAGCAGAGATGCCAGGGGAAGGATGGTTGGGGTCAGAACAGGGGAAAGAAGGTTGTTGGGTGGAAGCAGGTCTGACCTCCACTCATAGGAATGGGCCTTTTTCCCTCGTGAAGCCAGGGGGCGTCAAATACAGCTCCCACGTGGTTGCTTTTTTCCCCCCACATGGTTTTTGCAATTGGTAAAAGCGTTTTCCCCAGTTTGTCGTGTTGTTTCTGCCACGTGTTTAGTTGTCATTATTAATTTTTCCCTTGATGCCATCTGTAGTTTATGTCACACTCAGAAATGTTTCTCCACAGTGAAAATGATCAATCATTTCCTCGTCAAAATGCAAGCATCTCTCTTTTTTTTCAAAAGCTATCCATCTAATTCTAGAGTATATTTGAAGAACCAAAACTCTTCTTCCCCCAAAATCCTTTGCCTCAACTCCATTTCTTGAAATAGCCACCTCCAATTCCATCCCAGGTACTGCATGCGGAATTCTCCTGTACATTTCAGTCAGTTTCTAGACTCTTCCCCCAGTTTGCCAGAATTATAGTTGGAATCTACCAGCTGTTCCACAGGAGAAAGATGTGGGTTTCTGCTCCTGTAAAGGTTTACAGCCTCGGAAACTCTATGCAGGGTCGCTATGAGTCAGAACCGACTCTACGGCGTACTACCGCCACCACCACCGCCACACTCTCTTTAATATGAGGAGGCTGACCTCCCTCGTTATGTTTTCATGAAGTGAAATCTGTCAAAGCCGGAACTCCACCAGACTGCCTTTGTATTTCCCATGCTGGAAAGTTTTCTGCCTTTGACAGTGCACAAGTCTTAACCAGTTTCCAGAACTTATTATCTTAGTGAGAAATACTCGCATTTTCCTTCTCTAGCAAGTTTCCGCCTTACACAGGTTGTAGTAGCAATATCAGGTGATGTTACTTAGCTTCCCCAGCCAGGCTTCCTTCAGAATCGCTTTAGCTGTGGAGTTACTACAATAGCTAAGTGTTCTTTTT